CGGGGGCCGCTGCTCTGGATGTGGGACACGGCCTCGGCGGCCTGCATGTTGGGCGGCGCGAAGCGCGACAGCACGCGCAGCAGCGCCTGGGCCTTGTGCTCCTGCGTGTCGTCCGCGCTGTAGTCCGCCACTCGGCACTCGTACACGCCCTCGTCCTGGCGGCGCACTGCCGACAGCCGCAACCTGTGGGAGATGTCGTTGCCCTGGACCCGCACGGTCTGCAAGAGAGGGGCCGCGTCAGAGACGGGAAGGGCGTGCCTGGCCGTCACTGCACCCCAAACTTCACAGTTGGGTTTGCCAATCAGGAGCCAGCTCTCCATTCCTTGTGTAGCTCCAGTGGCTGGCGGTCCACCTGGGTCCACCTGCCCACTGCTCTGTGCCCAGTTTCCTGTCTCTTAACTGAATGCAGGGGGTTGCAACCTCTGGCCCCCACAGACCTACTCTTGGCATCTTCACGGCTGTCCTTTCAGAGTGCCGGACTCACTCCTCCGTGCTCCCTCCTGTGTCTCTCACTGCCCAGACTTCCATGCCTCACCGCTGCTGCGCACGGGCTCAGCCTTGAGGAAGCCTCGCACCTACTGCACCAGGCCCTCCCTCCTCTGTTCTAGACCCTGCAGGCTGGGCTGGCATCCTCCTCAGAGTACACACTTATGCCCATTTATGCGCTCTGAGCTTTGCACAACCAACCCTCCACCTTCCCAGGGAGGCAAGGGGGCTCAGGCGGCCGCCAAGCTCCCTGACCCTGCTACTCATGAGCCTGCCTTTCTGCTTACAGCTGGAACCTGCTTTTCCACTTACAGCTGGAAGCTCCTGACCAAGCACCCTCCCAGGAGCCCAGTGGAAACACTGAATGAGCAGCTTTGGGGTCCTGGCCAAGCATCCTAGCAACCCTCACCTCTGCACCAAGCCCAGAGGAGGTCCTGGTGGTCCTTCCCACTGCAGCCAGAAAAGTCTGGGCACAAGTCCTCTCTGAATTACCAACTCCACTACCCAGGCCCTTGGCGGGCTGGCAAGAAAGTCCCTGTCCCTCCGAACGTCCCCCCTCATATCCAGTACTCCCACCAGCAACCAAAATCCCGGGGAAGGGAGGTAGTAGAGGGTGCTGGTACAAATGCGCCGGATAGGCCCCCCAACAGAGTCCCAGTGTGGAGCCAGAGAGCAGGCTTGCCTCAAGTTGCCAGGGGAAATGCCTACAGAGAGCAGGCCGAGGCTTTGGAAGAGTCACCGCTACCGAGAGTGTTGCAGTGAGAGTGGGGCAGAGGAAGGAGGCTGGGACCCTCGATTTACACAAAGGGGAACCGGATCCCGGTGGCGGCGACAGAGGGCGCCGAGACACGCCAAGCGCCAACAGGGCTGGGCTGCTTTCAGGGGCCTCAGGCTCCTGGCCGAGCCTCTCTAAAGGCAAGGAAGCTGTGGGGCGCGAAGCGGCCAGAAGGGGTCTCCCGCGGCCCGCGCTGGGCGCCACACTTACGCTGATTTTAGTTGCATCCTTATTTGTTACCTAAAATGCAAAGAGGGAGAGAGAAACATTAGGCTCTCGGCCTTCAGGCTCTGAGCGCTCAGATCTGCCTCCAGCAAGGAGCCCTGTGCAGGCAGGCTGGCATTCGGAAGCACTGGCGTCAGAGCGGCAGTGGACAGCATGGGAAACATCAGGATTTTTAGGAGTTTTACCCAGCAGGAAGCAGGGCTCAGAGCTAGCAAGGTGCCTGGCCCAGGAGGACTGGCTGCGGCCGGCTGGCTGGCGGGAGAGAGAGAGCAGACTGCCAGCCGCTGGCAAGGAAGACCCAGCTCCTCCCTGAGAGTCCTATTCCCTGCCTTCTTTGTGTAAAGCCTGTGAAAGCTGGAAGGAGGGGCTGGCCTATCCGGCCTGGACCCAGTGGGAAATGTGAGCAATAACTCCGGGTGGGACCCTGGGGAGTGGGCAGGTAGGTGTGTGTGGACAGTGTTGCTAAGAGTGTGGATTAAGAGGCCGATGACAGTGGGCGGTGCTCTGCAACCCCAGGGGGCCCTCCTTCTGACCCAGGTGACTTGCTTGCTTTTCTGCACAAGGTGCTCTGTCCACCTCTGGAACCCAGCCCTCAGGAGCTTAGCTCCTTGGCCCTGCGCTCTGGGGTGGCAGAGGGCAGGGAAAGCGTGGCCTGACCAAGTGGTCTCTCTTCAGCACCCAGTGCTCATTAGACTCCAGGCCTGCAGCCAGCAGCGTTAGAGTGAACTAGATGGGGCGTGGCTTTTTAGGGGCCAGCAGAAGAGTTTGGGAGGCTTTGGGAGAAGGGAATGAATGATCAGGGCTTGGGGGGAGAAAGAACTGTTGTTGAGGATGCTGGGGGAGGGGACTGAGCGGGTAGGGGGTGGGCTGTGCCACAGGGGGCACCCCGGTGGCCACTGGTCAGCTTGCCTTGCCGGGTTACCCCAGCATCCAGGCCATCCAGGCGCGAGCTCTGAGCACCAGCACAGACCAAGAAATGGTTACCTTGCTCCGGGCGCCTGGCACGCCGAGCGCCAGCTCGTGCAGCAGCTCTCGGGGCGGCTCCTTGAGGTACCACCACTGAATCTCCAGCGAATACGAGGTGGCTCCGCTCGCCCGGAAGGCGCAGGGCATTTCGATGTCGTCCCCCTCTCTCACTGTCACATCTTTGGGGACTTCAGTAAATGTAGCTGGGGGCGGGGGAGAGAGAGGCGTGACCAGCTGTGGGGCGGGGGCCTAGGGCAACCGGTGGCGCGACGGCCAGTCCCTGGCTCGCCGGCCTCGGGCTGCCCACCCCAGGCTGCCCCGTGGCTCAAGGCTCGGGGCGCTAGCAAAGTTCGGTCGAGCAGCCGCCAGGCCGCAGTAGAGACGACTAAGGCTGCAGGCTGTCTCCCTCCGGATCGGGTGGGGCAGGAGGGGCGGCTCAAGCTTCTCCCCCGGCGCCCGCCGCACTACCAGAGCCCGGCTGGGGCGCACCAACTCCCGCGCCCCGCGAGCCCTTCCTCAGCTGGAACCCTGGTCGGGCTTCCAGCGACCGGCGCGGGCGCCGCCGTGGCGGCGACCCCTCACCGTTCTCCCCCCCTTCTTCGGACCGGGGCTGCACACCGGGACTACCGAGACGGGGAAGCCTTCCCTTCGCTTCCTGCTCCTCCTCCGCGGCGGCCGGGCAGGCTGACTCCGGCGGCCCCGGCAGGAACCCCGAGCCCCCGCGGCAGCGAAGTTCCCGCGCTCACCGTCGGCCACGCAGAGCAGCAGGGCGTGCAGCAGCAGGGGCGGCAGGTATCCGAGGGCGCCGAGCCGG